GACACATTTACATTGAAAGTCCTTCAGAATGGTGAGGAAATGGTAAAACACCAACAAAAGTAAGAGCTTTGGTTTCTGTCACTTACTGATTTGAAACTTAAAGCATTTGACCTACCTGAGCCCTTTATGTCCTCATATATAAAATGAGGTAATCACTACTATGGCCCCTTTCTAGACTGAGAAAGCCAAAGAAAATAAACTTGGTCATGAAGATCAATCTGTCCAAAACTGATCCTCTCCCAAGCTGCCCTTGAAAAGAGGACATTTTCTCCTCCACAGAAGTGAGAGCAGCTATTTCTCAGGGCTTAAAGCAACTGTTTCCTATTCCACCTGGCCCATGTGAAGATTCCTGTTACCAAATTCTCATTTCCTGTAACTGTAAACCTTGAATCACAGTGCCCAATCACATCAGAAGGAAAGTTGGTAGTTACTCTACCCAACCACTAAGTTTGAGCCTAGAAATCGTACAACAGACAGGCTATCTTTATTTTGATATTCTGTATGGCCCTGATTACATTAAGAGAGGAGTTAAGTCTTGCTCAATTACATAGCTAGAAAATCCATAGCCTAAAGATTGACAGGTCTCTGTTGCAATGTAACATCCTAGATTTCTGTATGTCATTGTGATTATCATGAGCAAGAAGGCCCACATTCCTGTGATTAATCATGGGTCCACGGATCTCCCCCAACAAATGCCACTCCAGTTAACCTGGTGTGAGCACCACCTAGTCCTGTACCTTGGTGTACATTACAAAGAAAATAAAAACTACTAAAATCTTCACAGATGTGGTGTGTTAGATTTATGTGTGAGTTTATTAAATTTGTTTTCCTAAAGAAATGATATTGGAAAAGGTGAAGAGAGAGAGCATTTGAACTCTAGGTTTATGATACCAGAAAGTAGGAAAAAAGATAGGTGAACAGAGATGAAAAAATCCATATTCCATATTTCTTCTGGATTAAACTTGGTTCTAGATCAAGGCCTAAAATTTAGCCAAACTTTCTTCTATCCCCTTGAATTAAGATTTCTCCAGAGTAGAATAAAGCGTTAAATTAAAGAATGCCAAAGAGAAGAAAGGTTGCATCAAAGCCTGGCTTTCATGAGACTACTTGTTCTGAAATGGTGCTTCTTTGGTACTGATCTGTTATGATCATTTGAGGGCAGTTTTTTCCCTTCCACAGGAAACCCTACATGGAAGCAAGGCAAGGAAGGTTCAAGGTGGGAAAGTCACCACCCAGAAAATTCTGCAGATAGAAACCCAGGTGGCCTGAACACAAACCACAAGTGCAGCCACAGGAAATGACCCTACTCAGTCGAACCCCTGCCAGGGAAGAGAGTCTTTAAGAAAATAGGAGCTCTAGGGTGTTTAGTTGGGGGAAAAAAAAAAGCCTTAAGGAAGCTTATGAGAGAGTTAAATCCTTACTATGGTCTAAAACACCTCAGGAGCACTCTCCTAGTCATGTGTATTTATATACCACTTAACCAGTCGCTTGCTTAGAATTCCACAAGCAGAAAAAAATTCTTCTGTATTTTATTTATTTTAACAATATTTATATTATTTTTATTTGTCTAGTTGGTAATGTTTTCAGTACACAACATCAATATTCCTTGTGTGGAGCTGGTCAGAGTTCATACTGCATCTTAATTCCTTTCCCTCACCACTCTCTCTACTCCCTCCCCATCTTGATTGCCTTCCCATTTGAGAAATATCTCCCTTCCTATTTCCTATTATTTTTTATTTTACTTTTTATTTATTATTTGGGCTTCTCATAAAGGAGAAATCATGAGATATTTAAACTTGTGTGTCTGATTTCTTCCCTTTAGAATTATGGCCTCAAGGTGCATCCATTTTCCTAGAAATGACTAACTTTATCTTTTTTAATGCAAAGCAGTACTGCACTATATACAAATACCATGATTTCTTTATCTGTTTATCTGCTAACGAACATATAAGCTGCTTCCTAGATTTAGCTATAATTAATTGTGCTGCTATAAATATGGGTATGCATATATCATTGTAAAATGATGTCTTTAACTCTTTCAGAAAGACATCTAGTAGGGGAATTGCTGGGAAATTTCTGTTTTGAATTTTTGAGAAATCTGCATATTGATTTCCATAGTGATTGTAGTAGCTTACATTCTTATCAGCAATTTAGAAGGGTTTCTTTATCCCACAGCCTAATCAGCATTTATTATTTGATTTCTTGACAATGTCCATTCTTTCTGGGGTAAGGTGGAATTTTGGTGTTATTTATTTGCACTTCTCTAATGGCCAGTAATCATGAAAAACACAACCTTGTATTCTTATGTATTTATTGGCCTTTTGTACTCATTCTTCTGAGAAATATCTATTCATTTTATTTGCCAGTTTTTTGATTGGGTCTTTAAATTTGGGGGTCTAATTGTTTTTAGTTCTTTATATTTTATAGATATTAGTCCTCTGCCTGAGTAAACTGTGCAGGTTGCCTTTTCACTGTTGGTTGTTTCTTTTGTTGTGCAGAAGCTCTTTAATTCATAATCCTGTTTGTTGGTTCTTGGTACTATTTCCTTGGCAAACAGGTTTCTGTTCAGAAAGTCCTTGCCTATGCCTCTGACTTTAAGAGTTTTCTCTATTTTATCCTGTAGCAGGTTAAATGTTTCTATTTTAACATTTAATTATTTGATCCATTTTGATTTTAGTTTAGTACATGGTGAGAGATATAGATGTAAATGCAATCTTCTGCATATGGATAGCCAGTTTTCCTAGCACCATTTTTTATCTTTATTAAATTTATTGGCACATTTTAGTTATACAATATAGTTACAGTCTTCATTGGGCCTTGTACCTATACATCTCTTACCTTGGTTTTTGTTTTTCCCCATCCCCCAGCTCTCCCTTCAGCCCCTCCAACCTTCCCTGTTTACAAGGACATTGTTTCCATGTTTTTCCTTTTAACATTTTTTTCTTTTCCCTTTTACCTTTCCTCTACCCCTCTCACTTGCTCTACTCCTTTAGACTTTTCTTCCTATTACACAATATCAGTTATACATTTTAATCCTTATTTACACTTTTTCTTTTGCACACCAGAGAAACTATTAGGTATTTATACATGTGTGACTTATTAATTTCACGTAAGAGTATGACCTCTATGTGCATTCACTTAGCTATAAATCTCTCTAGTTTCTCATTCTTAATGGCTGAGTAGTACTCCATTTTATTAAAACACACACATGCATGCACACACACATACACACACACACACACACACACACACACACACACATATCTTCTTTATCCAGTCTCCAGTTAATGAACACTTGAGCTGTTTCCAGTTTTAGCACTATTTATTAAAGAGGCTATTGTTCCCCCAATGAATGTTTTGGGTTCCTTTGTCAAAGATCAAATAATTGAATGTGCTTGGACTTGCCTCTGCTTCCTCTATTCTGTTCTATTGATCCTCACATCTGTTTCTGTGCCATGCTGTTTTTATCACTGTAGCTTTGTAATGTAATTTCAAGTCCAGAATTGTGATGCCACCTGCTTTGCTATTGTTGCCCAGATTGCTTTGGCTATTCTGGGTTTCTTCTTGTTCCATGTGAATTTTAGGATTTTTTTTCTACTTCTATGAAGAATGCGGTTGGCATTTGATGAGATTTGTTGGGATTGTGTTAAATCTACATCAGTTTTGGAAGAATGGCCATTTTTCCTTACATATGTTCTGCCTATCCAGGAACAGAGAATATCTTCCCATTTTCTGATGTCCTCTTCCGTTGCCTTTATCAGAGTGATGTGGCTTTCATTGTAGATAACTTTCACTTCTTTATTTAGGTTAACTCCTACTACTTAATATTTCTTAATTGTATCATGAATGATTTTTTTGTAATTTCTTTCTCAGTGTTTTTTTTTTCTTTGTTTGCAAGAATGTTATTGCTTTTTGTATATTGATTTTGTATCCTGCTACACTTCTGAATTTGGCTATTGATTCTAGAAATATTTTGGTGGATTATTTTGGATCTTTATGTAGAAGATCATGTCATTATTTTAAAATTAGATTAATTTATAATCTACTTATAGAGAGTGTAACATCCAGCATAATAATTCATGAGCAGTTTGAAAATTTTTATTTCTTAGTATTTTACAAACTCAACTTTTTTATACATACTGTTTTTATGCAGCTCTTTTTTCAACCTTGCTATGTAAATATTAATATTCATATTTTACAGAGAAAATAATGTACTCTTGCACAGTAAGACACTGCTTATGAAGTGACAGAGCCAGGATTCAAGACCAGATCTATGATGTCTGGAAAGCCCTAGCTGGGCCACAGTAGTGGATCTCAAACCTGGCTGTAGCTGTGACCTTCAAAGGATTCCCTGCATGTTCTGATAATATGAAAGAATCCAGTGTTCAAAACCATCCTATAGAAAGACAATAGATATTAATAACAGCACCAATCTGCCACTTAATGTAGCCAAGTTGTAACTTGCTTATAATCATTCTGGTCCTATGTGGTTATTTTTTAATATCTGGCTTATGAGCCCTCACATTCTCTGCACTATTTTGCTTAGACTATAGAAGTGTGCTGTTCAGTAAATCTGTCAATTCCAACTGCTTTAAGTGAATTACTCAGGATAAGTTGACATCCCTGTTTGACTTTGGCTAAACATTAATCTGTATTGCCTAGTCCAGTGTTTTCCAAAGCTGGGTGCACCAAGCAACCTACGGAGGATTGCAGAACCATGTATTTAAATACCTATTTTTATTTAAATTTGAAGAAAACTTTTCAAAATACCTTATTTATTATATTGATGGGCACTGATGTATATATGGCTTATAAGTCAATAGATTTCTGTAGAAACATGTCCCAGCAACAATACTTTGGAGTATCAAGTGAAAATATAAGAGGTACTACTGGTCTAGATCACATCTTTTGTGATCTGGGAAGTGTGATCATTCAGCTAGGGAGGAATCAGAAGGCAAAACTCCCTCTGGGTATGCAATTAATGTAGCAATCATCACAGGATGGAAGGAAATACACTCAGAGGCAGAAATACATCCTACGAGGTGACTTATTTCATCCTGTTGGGCTTCCCTAGTCGCTGGGAAATACAGATCTTCCTTTTCTCCATGTTCTTTATGACTTACATCTTGACTCTGTTTGGAAACATGGCCATCATGTGTGCAGTTCACTGGGACCCCCGGCTCCACACACCCATGTACATCCTGCTGGCCAACTTCTCCTTCCTAGAGATCTGGTATGTCAACTCTGATGTGCCCAACTTGCTGATCAACTTCCTCTCAATGGCAAAAACCATCTCCTTCACTGGGTGCCTCCTCCAGTTGTACTTTTTCTTCTCTCTGGGCACAACTGAATGTCTGTTTCTCTCCATCATGGCCTATGACCAGTTCCTAGCGATCTGCCGCCCCCTGCACTACCCCACCATCATGACTACGAAGTTCTGTTACAGGCTGGTCATCTTTTGCTGGGTCTATGGTTTCCTCTGGTTTCTGATTCCAGTGATACTTATCACCCTGTTGCCGTTTTGTGGACCAAATGTGATTGATGACTTTCTGTGTGACCTTGGTCCCCTGCTGGCCCTAGCTTCGGCCTGTGTCCCAATCCCAGGGACTGTTCTCATATGTGGCACCATGAGCTCCCTCCTCATCTTTTCCACCTTTTTCTATATTATCAGCTCCTACACCCTGGTGCTGAGATCTGTCATGCAGGTGCCCTCCTCTGCTGGCTGGAAGAAGGCCTTCTCCACCTGCTCTTCACATCTGGCTGTTGTATGCCTCTTCTATGGCTCCATTATGCTGACGTATGTGAGCCCAGGGTCAGGACAACCAGAGGGCATGCAGAAGTTTACAAAGTTGTTCTACTCGGTTTTGACCCCTTTATTCAATCCAGTGATTTACAGCCTCCGGAACAAAGAAATGAAGGATGCCTTGAAGAAAGTTCTGGGAGATTTCTAAAATTGGTCTATGATGTTAGTGAGTTTTATTCAAATGAATTCATACTATAAGCCTCCTGTCAGTGAAGAGCCAGGATAGATGGCAAATAGATGTGAAATTTTCAAAGGCTGTATTTTCAAACCTGAACTGTTATCTAAAAAACAAAGCCTTTCCCCAGGCAAAATCAATTGCCTCTTCCACAATATGTTACTTATACTTTGGTTGAACATGTCTATCATTCTTTCTTGTACTATATTTAGCTGTACAGAAGTGTGTTTCAATGAGCCTCTCTATCCTGACTGGACTATAAATTACTTGAGAGAAGTGACTATTGTTTATTAATTTCTGTAATTTCAGAACTCCAGATAACACATTGATATCAATAATGTTAATCTAAATAAGACAAATGTATTTGTTCCTATTTCCTGGCCAGTGTGTCATTATTTTTTAAAGAAGTTTATTGGTACAATTTAGATATACATAATGATCACATTCATCATAGGGAATTTGTGCCTATAAGTGACACATCTTACTACTCTTTTTTTCCAGTTCACTCCCCTTCCCTTCAACCCTGCTTCCTCTCCTTTACAAGAGCTTTGTGTCTATTTTATTTTTCTTTTCTCATTTTTTCTTTTCTCTTTCTTCCTTTCCCCCTCCTTCTCCCTAGTGTCCCTTTCCATTTGAACCTTTACTTCTTATTTCACATTGTCTATTATACACTTTAGGCCTTTTTATACTTTCAGTTTCTCACACCAGAGAACCAATGTGATATTTACATATATGTGTCCAATTTCTTAAGAGAATGGTCTCTGGGTGCATCCATTTAGCTATAAATGTCTCAAGTTTAGTTTTCTTTATAGCTGAGTAATACTCTCATATAAAAAAAATCGTTATCCATTTATTGGTTGATGGGCATCTGGGCTGTTTCCAAGATTTAGGTATTAAAAACTGTGCTATAATGAACAAGGGTGCACATATATCTCTGTAGTATAATGCCTTTAGTTCTTTTGGGAAGATACTGAGAAGAGGGAGAGCTGGGTCAAGTGGAACCACTAGTCCTAGTTTTTTGTTTTTTTGTTGTAGCGGGGATCAAACTTGGAACCTTGTACTTGCGAGGGAGGCAATGGAATCACTGAGCTAAATCCCTGGCCCTAGTCCTAGTTTTTGAGGACTCTCCACACTTATTTCCAAAGTGGTTGCACCAGTCTACACTCCCACCAACAGCAGAGAAGGGTTCTTTTTTCCTTTCAGCCCCACTAGCATTTGATATTGGTTGATTCTTGATAGCAGCCATTCTTTTTAGAGTCAGATGGAATCTCAGCATTGTTTTAAACTGCATCTCTTGTATGACCAGTGATGTTGAACATTTTTTCTTAAATGTATTTGCTTCTCCTGAGAAGTGTGTATCCATCTCAGATGCCCCTTTTTGTATTGGGTCTTCAAATGGGTGGGCTTTTTTCAGTTCTTTAAATATTCTAAATATCAGTCTTTTCGCTGAGGAACAGCTTGCAAATTTATTTCCACTCTTGCGGTGTCTCTTTTCTCTGTTGATTTCTTTTGCTGTGCAAAAGCTTTTTTAAGAAGGTTAGGTTTCAGTATTGGTGTGATATTTTTTGGGCAATCGGGGTTTTATTCATAAAGTCTTTGCCTATACCTATGTCTTCAAGAGTTGTAGCTATTTTTTCTTCCAGGAGATTTAGTGTTTCTGTTTTAATATTTATATCGTTGATCCATTGTAGTTCTAGTTTAGTGCATTGTGAGAGATGTGGGTTTAGTTTTACTCTTCCACATGTGGAAAGCCTGTTATTATTCTAGCACTATTTATTAAAGAAGCTATCTTTCTTCTTTTTTTTTCTTTTCCTTTAGCCCTTTTCTTCCTATTTCACATTGTCAATTATATCATTAGGATCTTATCTACTGTTATAGTTTTTCACACCAGAGAAACTATTCGGTGTTTATACATGTGTGACTTATTTATTTCACTTAGGAGTATATCCTCAATAAGAAAAAAATATGAGAAAATGAAAAAATGGAAATAAAGTGTCTGTAAATGGGGAGGGGAGGGGGTAAAGGTAGGGGAGGGACAAGGGAAAAAATGAGAACCAAGACTGTCATGTAAAGGTATGAGATGCCAATAATGGATGTAACTGTACTGTACTGTATACCTGAAATGTACCAATAAACTCAATGAGAGGAAAAAAAAAGAAGCTACATTTCTTCCAGTAAAGATGTTGGTCTCTTTCTCAAAAATAAGGTGGGTGAGTGTGTTTAGAGTTGGTTTTGCATCTTCTAATCAGTCCCATTGATTATTGGATCTGGGTTTTTTTGCCAGTACCATCCTGCTGTTTTTATCACAGTAGCTTTGTAGTATAATTTCAAGTCAGGGATTGTGTTGCCTCCCAGCCTTGCTTTTGTAGTCCAAAATTATTTTTGCAGTTGTGAGCCTCTTCTAGTTCCAAATGCATTTTAGCAATGTTTTCTCTTGTTCTGTAAGGCATGGTATTGATATTTTGATTGAGATTGTATTAAATCTGTATAAAAATTTTGGAAGTATGGAAATATTTTTACTATATATTTGATCTTCCTACACATGAGCAAGGGATATCTTCCTATTTTCTGATAGTCTCTTTGATCTCCTTTTTCAGAGTACTGTAATTTTCAATGTAAAGATCTTTTACTTCCTTTGTTAGACAAACTCCTGAGTGTTTTATTTTTTCCATGCTATAGAGGAAGATACTGTTTCACAAAGTTCTCTCTCAGTAATTTTCTTATTCCTGTATTAATTTTTGAGTGTTGACTTTGTATCAACACTACTACTGCACTACTGCATGTGATTATTAAATATGGAAGTCTTTTGATAGAGTTTTTGGGGCCATCTATGTACAGTATCATGTTATCTGCAAATAATAACCATTTAATTTCTTTCTTTCCTATATTTTTATCTTTTTTAAGTTTATTGGTACATTTTAGGTACATGATACAGTTACAGTCATCACTGAAATCTTGTGCCTTTGTATGACATATCTTGGTTCTTATTTTTCCCCATCCCCCAGCCCTGCCCTCAGCCCCTCTAACCTTCCCTATTTACAAAGATTGTTTCCATGTTTTCTCTTTTTAACTGCAACGTTAAATGTGAATGATATAACCAAAGACCAAAGACCTGAGAATAGAAGTGGAAAGATAAGCAGGACCCAACCATCTATTGTCTAAAACAAATCTACTTTAAATAAAAATAGTTACAATGTATGCAACCTTTAATCAAAAGAAATTTTGAGTAGCTCTAAATATCAAAGTAGACTTCAGAATAAGGAACTTTATAAGGAATAAGGAAAGAAATTGCACAATTCAAAAGGGATCAAATTCTAGGAAATCAAAACAATTATAAATGTAATCTATAACTAACAACAAGCCAAAATACATGAAGCAAAAGCTGGAAAAACTAAATTGAATTCAAGGAATAGATTTTGCTATACATAAAGTTAAAACTAGGGCCGGGATTTAGCTCAGTGGTTCTGCCACGTGCCTAACAAGCACAAGAGCCCCAAGTTCGATCCCTGGTATCAAAAAAAAAAAAAAAGTAAAACATAAAGTTAAAACTAAATAATTTTTTGAAAATAGATTAAATAATTCCATTTATGTGATGTTTTAAAGCAGTTATAATGATGGCACATTAGTAAAAAATGTAAAGCAAAGAATCATGCTAGGGACTGAATGGTTCCCTGGATTTCATATCCAGAACTTGGAATGTGATGATATACGGAAGTGAGGTCTTTGGGAGGTAATTAGGCTTTGAAGTCATGAGGGTAAGGCTCCTACATTAGATTAGAGTGCTTATAAGTAAGAAAAAGAGACCAGCACTCACCCTTTCTCCCTCCACCCTGTGAGGACACAATAAGGAGGTGTATTTAGAAGCCCGGAGGAGGACTCTCTGTAGGGAACCAAATCAACTGGCACCCGGACCCTTCACCCCCAACATCCCAAATTGTGAGAAATGCATTCCTCTTCTTTAATACACCCAGCCTACATTATTAGGTCACAGCAACTGCAATGGTTTAAGTATTTGTCCCTGCCTAATCTCAAGCTGAAATAAACTGGCAGTGCAATGGCAGTGGAAGTGGAAGACATAAGAGGGCGGGAGTCCTCAGTGAGTGGACTCAAGCTTTACTGAGAGAGTTTTGGGAAGTGGGCTCTTTCTCTTTGCCCTTCTGCTTTATACCACATAGTGCTGCAGTAAGAGCTCATGACCAGATGCCACAAACTCTTCTTGAACTTCCCAGACTCCAGGACTGTGAGAAAATAAACTTCTGTTCACTATAAAATATTCATTCACAGATATTTTTTTGTAGAGGATTGAGGCACAGACCAAGCACGTTTTACAATAAATGTGTGTATAAGTGAGAAATATCATTGGAAAGGAAACTAAGGGACTTCCAATGCCTTAATTCTTACAAGTTCAAGTAGCAACCCAAAGAAACTATTTTGTTTATTGAATACCATATACCCAGATTATTAACAATCATTCGTTCTTACTAGAGATGCTTTGAGCCATGATTAGAAGAAAAATTCTGTTAAATATTTACATGTGGATGTGCACACTGGCGCTTGCACATGTGCCCACACACAGGTAATGAAAATAGAGGGATACAAGAGTTTGCAACATATTTTTACTCAATACCTTACTTATCTAAAGCAAGAAAATGTCAGCCAATATACCAACTTTTAGGAATGCCTGATATATATATTAAAAAAAAA